AAGCGGAAGATGCGAGTGAGGCGAGCAAGAAGCGGAAGATGCGAGTGAGGCGAGCAAGAAGCGGAAGATGCGAGTGAGGCGAGCAAGAAGCGGAAGATGCGAGTGAGGCGAGCAAGAAGCGGAAGATGCGAGTGAGGCGAGCAAGAAGCGGAAGATGCGAGTGAGGCGAGCAAGAAGCGGAAGATGCGAGTGAGGCGAGCAAGAAGCGGAAGATGCGAGTGAGGCGAGCAAGAAGCGGAAGATGCGAGTGAGGCGAGCAAGAAGCGGAAGATGCGAGTGAGGCGAGCAAGAAGCGGAAGATGCGAGTGAGGCGAGCAAGAAGCGGAAGATGCGAGTGAGGCGAGCAAGAAGCGGAAGATGCGAGTGAGGCGAGCAAGAAGCGGAAGATGCGAGTGAGGCGAGCAAGAAGCGGAAGATGCGAGTGAGGCGAGCAAGAAGCGGAAGATGCGAGTGAGGCGAGCAAGAAGCGGAAGATGCGAGTGAGGCGAGCAAGAAGCGGAAGATGCGAGTGAGGCGAGCAAGAAGCGGAAGATGCGAGTGAGGCGAGCAAGAAGCGGAAGATGCGAGTGAGGCGAGCAAGAAGCGGAAGATGCGAGTGAGGCGAGCAAGAAGCGGAAGATGCGAGTGAGGCGAGCAAGAAGCGGAAGATGCGAGTGAGGCGAGCAAGAAGCGGAAGATGCGAGTGAGGCGAGCAAGAAGCGGAAGATGCGAGTGAGGCGAGCAAGAAGCGGAAGATGCGAGTGAGGCGAGCAAGAAGCGGAAGATGCGAGTGAGGCGAGCAAGAAGCGGAAGATGCGAGTGAGGCGAGCAAGAAGCGGAAGATGCGAGTGAGGCGAGCAAGAAGCGGAAGATGCGAGTGAGGCGAGCAAGAAGCGGAAGATGCGAGTGAGGCGAGCAAGAAGCGGAAGATGCGAGTGAGGCGAGCAAGAAGCGGAAGATGCGAGTGAGGCGAGCAAGAAGCGGAAGATGCGAGTGAGGCGAGCAAGAAGCGGAAGATGCGAGTGAGGCGAGCAAGAAGCGGAAGATGCGAGTGAGGCGAGCAAGAAGCGGAAGATGCGAGTGAGGCGAGCAAGAAGCGGAAGATGCGAGTGAGGCGAGCAAGAAGCGGAAGATGCGAGTGAGGCGAGCAAGAAGCGGAAGATGCGAGTGAGGCGAGCAAGAAGCGGAAGATGCGAGTGAGGCGAGCAAGAAGCGGAAGATGCGAGTGAGGCGAGCAAGAAGCGGAAGATGCGAGTGAGGCGAGCAAGAAGCGGAAGATGCGAGTGAGGCGAGCAAGAAGCGGAAGATGCGAGTGAGGCGAGCAAGAAGCGGAAGATGCGAGTGAGGCGAGCAAGAAGCGGAAGATGCGAGTGAGGCGAGCAAGAAGCGGAAGATGCGAGTGAGGCGAGCAAGAAGCGGAAGATGCGAGTGAGGCGAGCAAGAAGCGGAAGATGCGAGTGAGGCGAGCAAGAAGCGGAAGATGCGAGTGAGGCGAGCAAGAAGCGGAAGATGCGAGTGAGGCGAGCAAGAAGCGGAAGATGCGAGTGAGGCGAGCAAGAAGCGGAAGATGCGAGTGAGGCGAGCAAGAAGCGGAAGATGCGAGTGAGGCGAGCAAGAAGCGGAAGATGCGAGTGAGGCGAGCAAGAAGCGGAAGATGCGAGTGAGGCGAGCAAGAAGCGGAAGATGCGAGTGAGGCGAGCAAGAAGCGGAAGATGCGAGTGAGGCGAGCAAGAAGCGGAAGATGCGAGTGAGGCGAGCAAGAAGCGGAAGATGCGAGTGAGGCGAGCAAGAAGCGGAAGATGCGAGTGAGGCGAGCAAGAAGCGGAAGATGCGAGTGAGGCGAGCAAGAAGCGGAAGATGCGAGTGAGGCGAGCAAGAAGCGGAAGATGCGAGTGAGGCGAGCAAGAAGCGGAAGATGCGAGTGAGGCGAGCAAGAAGCGGAAGATGCGAGTGAGGCGAGCAAGAAGCGGAAGATGCGAGTGAGGCGAGCAAGAAGCGGAAGATGCGAGTGAGGCGAGCAAGAAGCGGAAGATGCGAGTGAGGCGAGCAAGAAGCGGAAGATGCGAGTGAGGCGAGCAAGAAGCGGAAGATGCGAGTGAGGCGAGCAAGAAGCGGAAGATGCGAGTGAGGCGAGCAAGAAGCGGAAGATGCGAGTGAGGCGAGCAAGAAGCGGAAGATGCGAGTGAGGCGAGCAAGAAGCGGAAGATGCGAGTGAGGCGAGCAAGAAGCGGAAGATGCGAGTGAGGCGAGCAAGAAGCGGAAGATGCGAGTGAGGCGAGCAAGAAGCGGAAGATGCGAGTGAGGCGAGCAAGAAGCGGAAGATGCGAGTGAGGCGAGCAAGAAGCGGAAGATGCGAGTGAGGCGAGCAAGAAGCGGAAGATGCGAGTGAGGCGAGCAAGAAGCGGAAGATGCGAGTGAGGCGAGCAAGAAGCGGAAGATGCGAGTGAGGCGAGCAAGAAGCGGAAGATGCGAGTGAGGCGAGCAAGAAGCGGAAGATGCGAGTGAGGCGAGCAAGAAGCGGAAGATGCGAGTGAGGCGAGCAAGAAGCGGAAGATGCGAGTGAGGCGAGCAAGAAGCGGAAGATGCGAGTGAGGCGAGCAAGAAGCGGAAGATGCAGAGTGAGGCGAGCAAGAAGCGGAAGATGCGAGTGAGCGAGCAAGAAGCGGAAGATGCAGTGGAGGCGAGCAAGAAGCGGAAGATGCGAGTGAGGCGAGCAAGAACGGAAGATGCGAGTGAGGCGAGCAAGAAGCGGAAGATGCGAGTGAGGCGAGCAAGAAGCGGAAGATGCGAGTGAGGCGAGCAAGAAGCGGAAGATGCGAGTGAGGGCGAGCAAGAAGCGGAAGATGCGAGTGAGGCGAGCAAGAATCGGAAGATGCGAGTTGAGGCGAGCAAGAAGCGGAAGATGCGAGTGAGGCGAGCAAGAAGCAGGAAGATGCGAGTGAGGCGAGCAAGAAAGCGGAAGTATGCGAGTGAGGCGAGCAAGAAGCGGAAGATGCGAGTGAGGCGGAGCAAGAAGCGAGAAGATGCGAGGTGAGGCGAGCAAGAAGCGGAAGATGCGAGTGAGGCGAGCAAGAAGCTGGAAGATGGCGAGTGAGCGAGCAAGAAGCGGAAGATGCGAGTGAGGCCGAGCCAAGAAGCGGAAGATGGCGAGTGAGGCGAGCAAGAAGCGGAAGATGCGAGTGAGGCGAGCAAGAAGCGGAAGATGCGAGTGAGGCGAGCAAGAAGCGGAAGATGCGAGTGAGGCGAGCAAGAAGCGGAAGATGCGAGTGAGGCGAGCAAGAAGCGGAAGATGCGAGTGAGGCGAGCAAGAAGCGGAAGATGCGAGTGAGGCGAGCAAGAAGCGGAAGATGCGAGTGAGGCGAGCAAGAAGCGGAAGATGCGAGTGAGGCGAGCAAGAAGCGGAAGATGCGAGTGAGGCGAGCAAGAAGCGGAAGATGCGAGTGAGGCGAGCAAGAAGCGGAAGATGCGAGTGAGGCGAGCAAGAAGCGGAAGATGCGAGTGAGGCGAGCAAGAAGCGGAAGATGCGAGTGAGGCGAGCAAGAAGCGGAAGATGCGAGTGAGGCGAGCAAGAAGCGGAAGATGCGAGTGAGGCGAGCAAGAAGCGGAAGATGCGAGTGAGGCGAGCAAGAAGCGGAAGATGCGAGTGAGGCGAGCAAGAAGCGGAAGATGCGAGTGAGGCGAGCAAGAAGCGGAAGATGCGAGTGAGGCGAGCAAGAAGCGGAAGATGCGAGTGAGGCGAGCAAGAAGCGGAAGATGCGAGTGAGGCGAGCAAGAAGCGGAAGATGCGAGTGAGGCGAGCAAGAAGCGGAAGATGCGAGTGAGGCGAGCAAGAAGCGGAAGATGCGAGTGAGGCGAGCAAGAAGCGGAAGATGCGAGTGAGGCGAGCAAGAAGCGGAAGATGCGAGTGAGGAGAGCAAGAAGCGGAAGATGCGAGTGAGGCGAGCAAGAAGCGGAAGATGCGAGTGAGGCGAGCAAGAAGCGGAAGATGCGAGTGAGGCGAGCAAGAAGCGGAAGATGCGAGTGAGGCGAGCAAGAAGCGGAAGATGCGAGTGAGGCGAGCAAGAAGCGGAAGATGCGAGTGAGGCGAGCAAGAAGCGGAAGATGCGAGGGAGGCGAGCAAGAAGCGAAGATGCGAGTGAAGGCGAGCAAGAAGCGGAAGATGCGAGTGAGGCGAGCAGAAGCGGAAGATGCGAGTGAGGCGAGCAAGAAGCGGAAGATGCGAGTGAGGCGAGCAAGAAGCGGAAGATGCGAGTGAGGCGAGCAAGAAGCGGAAGATGCGAGTGAGGCGAGCAAGAAGCGGAAGATGCGAGTGAGGCGAGCAGAAGCGGAAGATGCGAGTGAGGCGAGCAAGAAGCGGAAGATGCGAGTGAGGCGAGCAAGAAGCGGAAGATGCGAGTGAGGCGAGCAAGAAGCGGAAGATGCGAGTGAGGCGAGCAAGAAGCGGAAGATGCGAGTGAGGCGAGCAAGAAGCGGAAGATGCGAGTGAGGCGAGCAAGAAGCGGAAGATGCGAGTGAGGCGAGCAAGAAGCGGAAGATGCGAGTGAGGCGAGCAAGAAGCGGAAGATGCGAGTGAGGCGAGCAAGAAGCGGAAGATGCGAGTGAGGCGAGCAAGAAGCGGAAGATGCGAGTGAGGCGAGCAAGAAGCGGAAGATGCGAGTGAGGCGAGCAAGAAGCGGAAGATGCGAGTGAGGCGAGCAAGAAGCGGAAGATGCGAGTGAGGCGAGCAAGAAGCGGAAGATGCGAGTGAGGCGAGCAAGAAGCGGAAGATGCGAGTGAGGCGAGCAAGAAGCGGAAGATGCGAGTGAGGCGAGCAAGAAGCGGAAGATGCGAGTGAGGCGAGCAAGAAGCGGAAGATGCGAGTGAGGCGAGCAAGAAGCGGAAGATGCGAGTGAGGCGAGCAAGAAGCGGAAGATGCGAGTGAGGCGAGCAAGAAGCGGAAGATGCGAGTGAGGCGAGCAAGAAGCGGAAGATGCGAGTGAGGCGAGCAAGAAGCGGAAGATGCGAGTGAGGCGAGCAAGAACGGAAGATGCGAGTGAGGCGAGCAAGAAGCGGAAGATGCGAGTGAGGCGAGCAAGAAGCGGAAGGATGCGAGTGAGGCGAGCAAGAAGCGGAAGATGCGAGTGAGGCGAGCAAGAAGCGGAAGATGCGAGTGAGGCGAGCAAGAAGCGGAAGATGCGAGTGAGGCGAGCAAGAAGCGGAAGATGCGAGTGAGGCGAGCAAGAAGCGGAAGATGCGAGTGAGGCCGAGCAAGAAGCGGAAGATGCGAGTGAGGCGAGCAAGAAGCGGAAGATGCGAGTGAGGCGAGCAAGAAGCGGAAGATGCGAGTGAGGCGAGCAGAAGCGGAAGATGCGAGTGAGGCGAGCAAGAAGCGGAAGATGCGAGTGAGGCGAGCAAGAAGCGGAAGATGCGAGTGAGGCGAGCAAGAAGGCGAAGATGCGAGTGAGGCGAGCAAGAAGCGGAAGATGCGAGTGAGGCGAGCAAGAAGCGGAAGATGCGAGTGAGGCGAGCAAGAAGCGAAGATGCGAGTGAGGCGAGCAAGAAGCGGAAGATGCGAGTGAGGCGAGCAAGAAGCGGAAGATGCGAGTGAGGCGAGCAAGAAGCGGAAGATGCGAGTGAGGCGAGCAAGAAGCGGAATGCGAGTGAGGCGAGCAAGAAGCGGAAGATGCGAGTGAGGCGAGCAAGAAGCGAAGATGCGAGTGAGGCGAGCAAGAAGCGGAAGATGCGAGTGAGGCGAGCAAGAAGCGGAAGATGCGAGTGAGGCGAGCAAGAAGCGGAAGATGCGAGTGAGGCGAGCAAGAAGCGGAAGATTGCGAGTGAGGCGAGCAAGAAGCGAAAGATGCGAGTGAGGCGAGCAAGAAGCGGAGAGCGATGCGAGTGAGGCGAGCAAGAAGCGGAAGATGCGAGTGAGGCGAGCAAGAAGCGGAAGATGCGAGTGAGGCGAGCAAGAAGCGGAAGATGCGAGTGAGGCGAGCAAGAAGCGGAAGATGCGAGTGAGGCGAGCAAGAAGCGGAAGATGCGAGTGAGGCGAGCAAGAAGCGGAAGATGCGAGTGAGGCGAGCAAGAAGCGGAAGATGCGAGTGAGGCGAGCAAGAAGCGGAAGATGCGAGTGAGGCGAGCAAGAGCGGAAGATGCGAGTGAGGCGAGCAAGAAGCGGAAGATGCGAGTGAGGCGAGCAAGAAGCGGAAGATGCGAGTGAGGCGAGCAAGAAGCGGAAGATGCGAGTGAGGCGAGCAAGAAGCGGAAGATGCGAGTGAGGCGAGCAAGAAGCGGAAGATGCGAGTGAGGCGAGCAAGAAGCGGAAGATGCGAGTGAGGCGAGCAAGAAGCGGAAGATGCGAGTGAGGCGAGCAAGACGAGATGCGAGTGAGGGAGCAGAGCGAGATGCGAGTGAGGCGAGCAAGAAGCGGAAGATGCGAGTGAGGCGAGCAAGAAGCGGAAGATGCGAGTGAGGCGAGCAAGAAGCGGAAGATGCGAGTGAGGCGAGCAAGAAGCGGAAGATGCGAGTGAGGCGAGCAAGAAGCGGAAGATGCGAGTGAGGCGAGCAAGAAGCGGAAGATGCGAGTGAGGCGAGCAAGAAGCGGAAGATGCGAGTGAGGCGAGCAAGAAGCGGAAGATGCGAGTGAGGCGAGCAAGAAGCGGAAGATGCGAGTGAGGCGAGCAAGAAGCGGAAGATGCGAGTGAGGCGAGCAAGAAGCGGAAGATGCGAGTGAGGCGAGCAAGAAGCGGAAGATGCGAGTGAGGCGAGCAAGAAGCGGAAGATGCGAGTGAGGCGAGCAAGAAGCGGAAGATGCGAGTGAGGCGAGCAAGAAGCGGAAGATGCGAGTGAGGCGAGCAAGAAGCGGAAGATGCGAGTGAGGCGAGCAAGAAGCGGAAGATGCGAGTGAGGCGAGCAAGAAGCGGAAGATGCGAGTGAGGCGAGCAAGAAGCGGAAGATGCGAGTGAGGCGAGCAAGAAGCGGAAGATGCGAGTGAGGCGAGCAAGAAGCGGAAGATGCGAGTGAGGCGAGCAAGAAGCGGAAGATGCGAGTGAGGCGAGCAAGAAGCGGAAGATGCGAGTGAGGCGAGCAAGAAGCGGAAGATGCGAGTGAGGCGAGCAAGAAGCGGAAGATGCGAGTGAGGCGAGCAAGAAGCGGAAGATGCGAGTGAGGCCGAGCAAGAAGCGGAAGATGCGAGTGAGGCGAGCAAGAAGCGGAAGATGCGAGTGAGGCGAGCAAGAAGCGGAAGATGCGAGTGAGGCGAGCAAGAAGCGGAAGATGCGAGTGAGGCGAGCAAGAAGCGGAAGATGCGAGTGAGGCGAGCAAGAAGCGGAAGATGCGAGTGAGGCGAGCAAGAAGCGGAAGATGCGAGTGAGGCGAGCAAGAAGCGGAAGATGCGAGTGAGGCGAGCAAGAAGCGGAAGATGCGAGTGAGGCGAGCAAGAAGCGGAAGATGCGAGTGAGGCGAGCAAGAAGCGGAAGATGCGAGTGAGGCGAGCAAGAAGCGGAAGATGCGAGTGAGGCGAGCAAGAAGCGGAAGATGCGAGTGAGGCGAGCAAGAAGCGGAAGATGCGAGTGAGGCGAGCAAGAAGCGGAAGATGCGAGTGAGGCGAGCAAGAAGCGGAAGATGCGAGTGAGGCGAGCAAGAAGCGGAAGATGCGAGTGAGGCGAGCAAGAAGCGGAAGATGCGAGTGAGGCGAGCAAGAAGCGGAAGATGCGAGTGAGGCGAGCAAGAAGCGGAAGATGCGAGTGAGGCGAGCAAGAAGCGGAAGATGCGAGTGAGGCGAGCAAGAAGCGGAAGATGCGAGTGAGGCGAGCAAGAAGCGGAAGATGCGAGTGAGGCGAGCAAGAAGCGGAAGATGCGAGTGAGGCGAGCAAGAAGCGGAAGATGCGAGTGAGGCGAGCAAGAAGCGGAAGATGCGAGGAGTGCGAGCAAGAAGCGGAAGATGCGAGTGAGGCGAGCAAGAAGCGGAAGATGCGAGTGAGGCGAGCAAGAAGCGGAAGATGCGAGTGAGGCGAGCAAGAGCGGAAGATGCGAGTGAGGCGAGCAAGAAGCGGAAGATGCGAGTGAGGCGAGCAAGAAGCGGAAGATGCGAGTGAGGCGAGCAAGAAGCGGAAGATGCGAGTGAGGCGAGCAAGAAGCGGAAGATGCGAGTGAGGCGAGCAAGAAGCGGAAGATGCGAGTGAGGCGAGCAAGAAGCGGAAGATGCGAGTGAGGCGAGCAAGAAGCGGGAAGATGCGAGTGAGGCGAGCAAGAAGCGAAGATGCGAGTGAGGCGAGCAAGAAGCGGAAGATGCGAGTGAGGCGAGCAAGAAGCGGAAGATGCGAGTGAGGCGAGCAAGAAGCGGAAGATGCGAGTGAGGCGAGCAAGAAGCGGAAGATGCGAGTGAGGCGAGCAAGAAGCGGAAGATGCGAGTGAGGCGAGCAAGAAGCGGAAGATGCGAGTGAGGCGAGCAAGAAGCGGAAGATGCGAGTGAGGCGAGCAAGAAGCGGAAGATGCGAGTGAGGCGAGCAAGAAGCGGAAGATGCGAGTGAGGCGAGCAAGAAGCGGAAGATGCGAGTGAGGCGAGCAAGAAGCGGAAGATGCGAGTGAGGCGAGCAAGAAGCGGAAGATGCGAGTGAGGCGAGCAAGAAGCGGAAGATGCGAGTGAGGCGAGCAAGAAGCGGAAGATGCGAGTGAGGCGAGCAAGAAGCGGAAGATGCGAGTGAGGCGAGCAAGAAGCGGAAGATGCGAGTGAGGCGAGCAAGAAGCGGAAGATGCGAGTGAGGCGAGCAAGAAGCGGAAGATGCGAGTGAGGCGAGCAAGAAGCGGAAGATGCGAGTGAGGCGAGCAAGAAGCGGAAGATGCGAGTGAGGCGAGCAAGAAGCGGAAGATGCGAGTGAGGCGAGCAAGAAGCGGAAGATGCGAGTGAGGCGAGCAAGAAGCGGAAGATGCGAGTGAGGCGAGCAAGAAGCGGAAGATGCGAGTGAGGCGAGCAAGAAGCGGAAGATGCGAGTGAGGCGAGCAAGAAGCGGAAGATGCGAGTGAGGCGAGCAAGAAGCGGAAGATGCGAGTGAGGCGAGCAAGAAGCGGAAGATGCGAGTGAGGCGAGCAAGAAGCGGAAGATGCGAGTGAGGCGAGCAAGAAGCGGAAGATGCGAGTGAGGCGAGCAAGAAGCGGAAGATGCGAGTGAGGCGAGCAAGAAGCGGAAGATGCGAGTGAGGCGAGCAAGAAGCGGAAGATGCGAGTGAGGCGAGCAAGAAGCGGAAGATGCGAGTGAGGCGAGCAAGAAGCGGAAGATGCGAGTGAGGCGAGCAAGAAGCGGAAGATGCGAGTGAGGCGAGCAAGAAGCGGAAGATGCGAGTGAGGCGAGCAAGAAGCGGAAGATGCGAGTGAGGCGAGCAAGAAGCGGAAGATGCGAGTGAGGCGAGCAAGAAGCGGAAGATGCGAGTGAGGCGAGCAAGAAGCGGAAGATGCGAGTGAGGCGAGCAAGAAGCGGAAGATGCGAGTGAGGCGAGCAAGAAGCGGAAGATGCGAGTGAGGCGAGCAAGAAGCGGAAGATGCGAGTGAGGCGAGCAAGAAGCGGAAGATGCGAGTGAGGCGAGCAAGAAGCGGAAGATGCGAGTGAGGCGAGCAAGAAGCGGAAGATGCGAGTGAGGCGAGCAAGAAGCCGGAAGATGCGAGTGAGGCGAGCAAGAAGCGGAAGATGCGAGTGAGGCGAGCAAGAAGCGGAAGATGCGAGTGAGGCGAGCAAGAAGCGGAAGATGCGAGTGAGGCGAGCAAGAAGCGGAAGATGCGAGTGAGGCGAGCAAGAAGCGGAAGATGCGAGTGAGGCGAGCAAGAAGCGGAAGATGCGAGTGAGGCGAGCAAGAAGCGGAAGATGCGAGTGGCCAGAGCGGAGAGCGAGGAGGCCAAGAAGCGGAAGATGCGAGTGAGGCGAGCAAGAAGCGGAAGATGCGAGTGAGGCGAGCAAGAAGCGGAAGATGCGAGTGAGGCGAGCAAGAAGCGGAAGATGCGAGTGAGGCGAGCAAGAAGCGGAAGATGCGAGTGAGGCGAGCAAGAAGCGGAAGATGCGAGTGAGGCGAGCAAGAAGCGGAAGATGCGAGTGAGGCGAGCAAGAAGCGGAAGATGCGAGTGAGGCGAGCAAGAAGCGGAAGATGCGAGTGAGGCGAGCAAGAAGCGGAAGATGCGAGTGAGGCGAGCAAGAAGCGGAAGATGCGAGTGAGGCGAGCAAGAAGCGGAAGATGCGAGTGAGGCGAGCAAGAAGCGGAAGATGCGAGTGAGGCGAGCAAGAAGCGGAAGATGCGAGTGAGGCGAGCAAGAAGCGGAAGATGCGAGTGAGGCGAGCAAGAAGCGGAAGATGCGAGTGAGGCGAGCAAGAAGCGGAAGATGCGAGTGAGGCGAGCAAGAAGCGGAAGATGCGAGTGAGGCGAGCAAGAAGCGGAAGATGCGAGTGAGGCGAGCAAGAAGCGGAAGATGCGAGTGAGGCGAGCAAGAAGCGGAAGATGCGAGTGAGGCGAGCAAGAAGCGGAAGATGCGAGTGAGGCGAGCAAGAAGCGGAAGATGCGAGTGAGGCGAGCAAGAAGCGGAAGATGCGAGTGAGGCGAGCAAGAAGCGGAAGATGCGAGTGAGGCGAGCAAGAAGCGGAAGATGCGAGTGAGGCGAGCAAGAAGCGGAAGATGCGAGTGAGGCGAGCAAGAAGCGGAAGATGCGAGTGAGGCGAGCAAGAAGCGGAAGATGCGAGTGAGGCGAGCAAGAAGCGGAAGATGCGAGTGAGGCGAGCAAGAAGCGGAAGATGCGAGTGAGGCGAGCAAGAAGCGGAAGATGCGAGTGAGGCGAGCAAGAAGCGGAAGATGCGAGTGAGGCGAGCAAGAAGCGGAAGATGCGAGTGAGGCGAGCAAGAAGCGGAAGATGCGAGTGAGGCGAGCAAGAAGCGGAAGATGCGAGTGAGGCGAGCAAGAAGCGGAAGATGCGAGTGAGGCGAGCAAGAAGCGGAAGATGCGAGTGAGGCGAGCAAGAAGCGGAAGATGCGAGTGAGGCGAGCAAGAAGCGGAAGATGCGAGTGAGGCGAGCAAGAAGCGGAAGATGCGAGTGAGGCGAGCAAGAAGCGGAAGATGCGAGTGAGGCGAGCAAGAAGCGGAAGATGCGAGTGAGGCGAGCAAGAAGCGGAAGATGCGAGTGAGGCGAGCAAGAAGCGGAAGATGCGAGTGAGGCGAGCAAGAAGCGGAAGATGCGAGTGAGGCGAGCAAGAAGCGGAAGATGCGAGTGAGGCGAGCAAGAAGCGGAAGATGCGAGTGAGGCGAGCAAGAAGCGGAAGATGCGAGTGAGGCGAGCAAGAAGCGGAAGATGCGAGTGAGGCGAGCAAGAAGCGGAAGATGCGAGTGAGGCGAGCAAGAAGCGGAAGATGCGAGTGAGGCGAGCAAGAAGCGGAAGATGCGAGTGAGGCGAGCAAGAAGCGGAAGATGCGAGTGAGGCGAGCAAGAAGCGGAAGATGCGAGTGAGGCGAGCAAGAAGCGGAAGATGCGAGTGAGGCGAGCAAGAAGCGGAAGATGCGAGTGAGGCGAGCAAGAAGCGGAAGATGCGAGTGAGGCGAGCAAGAAGCGGAAGATGCGAGTGAGGCGAGCAAGAAGCGGAAGATGCGAGTGAGGCGAGCAAGAAGCGGAAGATGCGAGTGAGGCGAGCAAGAAGCGGAAGATGCGAGTGAGGCGAGCAAGAAGCGGAAGATGCGAGTGAGGCGAGCAAGAAGCGGAAGATGCGAGTGAGGCGAGCAAGAAGCGGAAGATGCGAGTGAGGCGAGCAAGAAGCGGAAGATGCGAGTGAGGCGAGCAAGAAGCGGAAGATGCGAGTGAGGCGAGCAAGAAGCGGAAGATGCGAGTGAGGCGAGCAAGAAGCGGAAGATGCGAGTGAGGCGAGCAAGAAGCGGAAGATGCGAGTGAGGCGAGCAAGAAGCGGAAGATGCGAGTGAGGCGAGCAAGAAGCGGAAGATGCGAGTGAGGCGAGCAAGAAGCGGAAGATGCGAGTGAGGCGAGCAAGAAGCGGAAGATGCGAGTGAGGCGAGCAAGAAGCGGAAGATGCGAGTGAGGCGAGCAAGAAGCGGAAGATGCGAGTGAGGCGAGCAAGAAGCGGAAGATGCGAGTGAGGCGAGCAAGAAGCGGAAGATGCGAGTGAGGCGAGCAAGAAGCGGAAGATGCGAGTGAGGCGAGCAAGAAGCGGAAGATGCGAGTGAGGCGAGCAAGAAGCGGAAGATGCGAGTGAGGCGAGCAAGAAGCGGAAGATGCGAGTGAGGCGAGCAAGAAGCGGAAGATGCGAGTGAGGCGAGCAAGAAGCGGAAGATGCGAGTGAGGCGAGCAAGAAGCGGAAGATGCGAGTGAGGCGAGCAAGAAGCGGAAGATGCGAGTGAGGCGAGCAAGAAGCGGAAGATGCGAGTGAGGCGAGCAAGAAGCGGAAGATGCGAGTGAGGCGAGCAAGAAGCGGAAGATGCGAGTGAGGCGAGCAAGAAGCGGAAGATGCGAGTGAGGCGAGCAAGAAGCGGAAGATGCGAGTGAGGCGAGCAAGAAGCGGAAGATGCGAGTGAGGCGAGCAAGAAGCGGAAGATGCGAGTGAGGCGAGCAAGAAGCGGAAGATGCGAGTGAGGCGAGCAAGAAGCGGAAGATGCGAGTGAGGCGAGCAAGAAGCGGAAGATGCGAGTGAGGCGAGCAAGAAGCGGAAGATGCGAGTGAGGCGAGCAAGAAGCGGAAGATGCGAGTGAGGCGAGCAAGAAGCGGAAGATGCGAGTGAGGCGAGCAAGAAGCGGAAGATGCGAGTGAGGCGAGCAAGAAGCGGAAGATGCGAGTGAGGCGAGCAAGAAGCGGAAGATGCGAGTGAGGCGAGCAAGAAGCGGAAGATGCGAGTGAGGCGAGCAAGAAGCGGAAGATGCGAGTGAGGCGAGCAAGAAGCGGAAGATGCGAGTGAGGCGAGCAAGAAGCGGAAGATGCGAGTGAGGCGAGCAAGAAGCGGAAGATGCGAGTGAGGCGAGCAAGAAGCGGAAGATGCGAGTGAGGCGAGCAAGAAGCGGAAGATGCGAGTGAGGCGAGCAAGAAGCGGAAGATGCGAGTGAGGCGAGCAAGAAGCGGAAGATGCGAGTGAGGCGAGCAAGAAGCGGAAGATGCGAGTGAGGCGAGCAAGAAGCGGAAGATGCGAGTGAGGCGAGCAAGAAGCGGAAGATGCGAGTGAGGCGAGCAAGAAGCGGAAGATGCGAGTGAGGCGAGCAAGAAGCGGAAGATGCGAGTGAGGCGAGCAAGAAGCGGAAGATGCGAGTGAGGCGAGCAAGAAGCGGAAGATGCGAGTGAGGCGAGCAAGAAGCGGAAGATGCGAGTGAGGCGAGCAAGAAGCGGAAGATGCGAGTGAGGCGAGCAAGAAGCGGAAGATGCGAGTGAGGCGAGCAAGAAGCGGAAGATGCGAGTGAGGCGAGCAAGAAGCGGAAGATGCGAGTGAGGCGAGCAAGAAGCGGAAGATGCGAGTGAGGCGAGCAAGAAGCGGAAGATGCGAGTGAGGCGAGCAAGAAGCGGAAGATGCGAGTGAGGCGAGCAAGAAGCGGAAGATGCGAGTGAGGCGAGCAAGAAGCGGAAGATGCGAGTGAGGCGAGCAAGAAGCGGAAGATGCGAGTGAGGCGAGCAAGAAGCGGAAGATGCGAGTGAGGCGAGCAAGAAGCGGAAGATGCGAGTGAGGCGAGCAAGAAGCGGAAGATGCGAGTGAGGCGAGCAAGAAGCGGAAGATGCGAGTGAGGCGAGCAAGAAGCGGAAGATGCGAGTGAGGCGAGCAAGAAGCGGAAGATGCGAGTGAGGCGAGCAAGAAGCGGAAGATGCGAGTGAGGCGAGCAAGAAGCGGAAGATGCGAGTGAGGCGAGCAAGAAGCGGAAGATGCGAGTGAGGCGAGCAAGAAGCGGAAGATGCGAGTGAGGCGAGCAAGAAGCGGAAGATGCGAGTGAGGCGAGCAAGAAGCGGAAGATGCGAGTGAGGCGAGCAAGAAGCGGAAGATGCGAGTGAGGCGAGCAAGAAGCGGAAGATGCGAGTGAGGCGAGCAAGAAGCGGAAGATGCGAGTGAGGCGAGCAAGAAGCGGAAGATGCGAGTGAGGCGAGCAAGAAGCGGAAGATGCGAGTGAGGCGAGCAAGAAGCGGAAGATGCGAGTGAGGCGAGCAAGAAGCGGAAGATGCGAGTGAGGCGAGCAAGAAGCGGAAGATGCGAGTGAGGCGAGCAAGAAGCGGAAGATGCGAGTGAGGCGAGCAAGAAGCGGAAGATGCGAGTGAGGCGAGCAAGAAGCGGAAGATGCGAGTGAGGCGAGCAAGAAGCGGAAGATGCGAGTGAGGCGAGCAAGAAGCGGAAGATGCGAGTGAGGCGAGCAAGAAGCGGAAGATGCGAGTGAGGCGAGCAAGAAGCGGAAGATGCGAGTGAGGCGAGCAAGAAGCGGAAGATGCGAGTGAGGCGAGCAAGAAGCGGAAGATGCGAGTGAGGCGAGCAAGAAGCGGAAGATGCGAGTGAGGCGAGCAAGAAGCGGAAGATGCGAGTGAGGCGAGCAAGAAGCGGAAGATGCGAGTGAGGCGAGCAAGAAGCGGAAGATGCGAGTGAGGCGAGCAAGAAGCGGAAGATGCGAGTGAGGCGAGCAAGAAGCGGAAGATGCGAGTGAGGCGAGCAAGAAGCGGAAGATGCGAGTGAGGCGAGCAAGAAGCGGAAGATGCGAGTGAGGCGAGCAAGAAGCGGAAGATGCGAGTGAGGCGAGCAAGAAGCGGAAGATGCGAGTGAGGCGAGCAAGAAGCGGAAGATGCGAGTGAGGCGAGCAAGAAGCGGAAGATGCGAGTGAGGCGAGCAAGAAGCGGAAGATGCGAGTGAGGCGAGCAAGAAGCGGAAGATGCGAGTGAGGCGAGCAAGAAGCGGAAGATGCGAGTGAGGCGAGCAAGAAGCGGAAGATGCGAGTGAGGCGAGCAAGAAGCGGAAGATGCGAGTGAGGCGAGCAAGAAGCGGAAGATGCGAGTGAGGCGAGCAAGAAGCGGAAGATGCGAGTGAGGCGAGCAAGAAGCGGAAGATGCGAGTGAGGCGAGCAAGAAGCGGAAGATGCGAGTGAGGCGAGCAAGAAGCGGAAGATGCGAGTGAGGCGAGCAAGAAGCGGAAGATGCGAGTGAGGCGAGCAAGAAGCGGAAGATGCGAGTGAGGCGAGCAAGAAGCGGAAGATGCGAGTGAGGCGAGCAAGAAGCGGAAGATGCGAGTGAGGCGAGCAAGAAGCGGAAGATGCGAGTGAGGCGAGCAAGAAGCGGAAGATGCGAGTGAGGCGAGCAAGAAGCGGAAGATGCGAGTGAGGCGAGCAAGAAGCGGAAGATGCGAGTGAGGCGAGCAAGAAGCGGAAGATGCGAGTGAGGCGAGCAAGAAGCGGAAGATGCGAGTGAGGCGAGCAAGAAGCGGAAGATGCGAGTGAGGCGAGCAAGAAGCGGAAGATGCGAGTGAGGCGAGCAAGAAGCGGAAGATGCGAGTGAGGCGAGCAAGAAGCGGAAGATGCGAGTGAGGCGAGCAAGAAGCGGAAGATGCGAGTGAGGCGAGCAAGAAGCGGAAGATGCGAGTGAGGCGAGCAAGAAGCGGAAGATGCGAGTGAGGCGAGCAAGAAGCGGAAGATGCGAGTGAGGCGAGCAAGAAGCGGAAGATGCGAGTGAGGCGAGCAAGAAGCGGAAGATGCGAGTGAGGCGAGCAAGAAGCGGAAGATGCGAGTGAGGCGAGCAAGAAGCGGAAGATGCGAGTGAGGCGAGCAAGAAGCGGAAGATGCGAGTGAGGCGAGCAAGAAGCGGAAGATGCGAGTGAGGCGAGCAAGAAGCGGAAGATGCGAGTGAGGCGAGCAAGAAGCGGAAGATGCGAGTGAGGCGAGCAAGAAGCGGAAGATGCGAGTGAGGCGAGCAAGAAGCGGAAGATGCGAGTGAGGCGAGCAAGAAGCGGAAGATGCGAGTGAGGCGAGCAAGAAGCGGAAGATGCGAGTGAGGCGAGCAAGAAGCGGAAGATGCGAGTGAGGCGAGCAAGAAGCGGAAGATGCGAGTGAGGCGAGCAAGAAGCGGAAGATGCGAGTGAGGCGAGCAAGAAGCGGAAGATGCGAGTGAGGCGAGCAAGAAGCGGAAGATGCGAGTGAGGCGAGCAAGAAGCGGAAGATGCGAGTGAGGCGAGCAAGAAGCGGAAGATGCGAGTGAGGCGAGCAAGAAGCGGAAGATGCGAGTGAGGCGAGCAAGAAGCGGAAGATGCGAGTGAGGCGAGCAAGAAGCGGAAGATGCGAGTGAGGCGAGCAAGAAGCGGAAGATGCGAGTGAGGCGAGCAAGAAGCGGAAGATGCGAGTGAGGCGAGCAAGAAGCGGAAGATGCGAGTGAGGCGAGCAAGAAGCGGAAGATGCGAGTGAGGCGAGCAAGAAGCGGAAGATGCGAGTGAGGCGAGCAAGAAGCGGAAGATGCGAGTGAGGCGAGCAAGAAGCGGAAGATGCGAGTGAGGCGAGCAAGAAGCGGAAGATGCGAGTGAGGCGAGCAAGAAGCGGAAGATGCGAGTGAGGCGAGCAAGAAGCGGAAGATGCGAGTGAGGCGAGCAAGAAGCGGAAGATGCGAGTGAGGCGAGCAAGAAGCGGAAGATGCGAGTGAGGCGAGCAAGAAGCGGAAGATGCGAGTGAGGCGAGCAAGAAGCGGAAGATGCGAGTGAGGCGAGCAAGAAGCCGGAAGATGCGAGTGAGGCGAGCAAGAAGCGGAAGATGCGAGTGAGGCGAGCAAGAAGCGGAAGATGCGAGTGAGGCGAGCAAGAAGCGGAAGATGCGAGTGAGGCGAGCAAGAAGCGGAAGAATGCGAGTGAGGCGAGCAAGAAGCGGAAGATGCGAGTGAGGCGAGCAAGAAGCGGAAGATGCGAGTGAGGCGAGCAAGAAGCGGAAGATGCGAGTGAGGCGAGCAAGAAGCGGAAGATGCGAGTGAGGCGAGCAAGAAGCGGAAGATGCGAGTGAGGCGAGCAAGAAGCGGAAGATGCGAGTGAGGCGAGCAAGAAGCGGAAGATGCGAGTGAGGCGAGCAAGAAGCGGAAGATGCGAGTGAGGCGAGCAAGAAGCGGAAGATGCGAGTGAGGCGAGCAAGAAGCGGAAGATGCGAGTGAGGCGAGCAAGAAGCGGAAGATGCGAGTGAGGCGAGCAAGAAGCGGAAGATGCGAGTGAGGCGAGCAAGAAGCGGAAGATGCGAGTGAGGCGAGCAAGAAGCGGAAGATGCGAGTGAGGCGAGCAAGAAGCGGAAGATGCGAGTGAGGCGAGCAAGAAGCGGAAGATGCGAGTGAGGCGAGCAAGAAGCGGAAGATGCGAGTGAGGCGAGCAAGAAGCGGAAGATGCGAGTGAGGCGAGCAAGAAGCGGAAGATGCGAGTGAGGCGAGCAAGAAGCGGAAGATGCGAGTGAGGCGAGCAAGAAGCGGAAGATGCGAGTGAGGCGAGCAAGAAGCGGAAGATGCGAGTGAGGCGAGCAAGAAGCGGAAGATGCGAGTGAGGCGAGCAAGAAGCGGAAGATGCGAGTGAGGCGAGCAAGAAGCGGAAGATGCGAGTGAGGCGAGCAAGAAGCGGAAGATGCGAGTGAGGCGAGCAAGAAGCGGAAGATGCGAGTGAGGCGAGCAAGAAGCGGAAGATGCGAGTGAGGCGAGCAAGAAGCGGAAGATGCGAGTGAGGCGAGCAAGAAGCGGAAGATGCGAGTGAGGCGAGCAAGAAGCGGAAGATGCGAGTGAGGCGAGCAAGAAGCGGAAGATGCGAGTGAGGCGAGCAAGAAGCGGAAGATGCGAGTGAGGCGAGCAAGAAGCGGAAGATGCGAGTGAGGCGAGCAAGAAGCGGAAGATGCGAGTGAGGCGAGCAAGAAGCGGAAGATGCGAGTGAGGCGAGCAAGAAGCGGAAGATGCGAGTGAGGCGAGCAAGAAGCGGAAGATGCGAGTGAGGCGAGCAAGAAGCGGAAGATGCGAGTGAGGCGAGCAAGAAGCGGAAGATGCGAGTGAGGCGAGCAAGAAGCGGAAGATGCACATGCAGGTGACCAATGGGGTAACACATCGAGACCCCAAGGACTTGGTTTACCAATAAAGCTAGTGCTCAACCAAAAAAAAGAGATTCAAGCAGCAGAGCCAGATTCATCTGGTAGTCGGCAAAAACGCCTAACAAAGGCTGGTAAGCCTCCCAACCGTGTGTGATAACGCGATTCTCTAGTCGCCTCAAAATAATAAACCCACCTGGTAGTCAGTTTATATGGCCTCCTCCCAACCGCGTGTGATAAGGCAATTCTCTAGTCGACCCAAAAGAATAAACCCACCCACCTGGTAGTCGATATATATGGCCTCCCAACCGCTCAGCCCAGCAGCTCCCCTCCCTTCACCCCCTCTTCCCCCTCCACCTTGTGCTGCCTGCAATGCTGCAGGAGTGCCCCGAGAGACAAGCGACCAGGACGATACAGCCGCAGGGCTGACTGGGCCAACAGGGGTGGCCTCGGGTAGCAGCGACAGCGGGTTGCTGTAGAGTTGCCTGTCATCCCCATCACCACCACAACCGCCACCACCGCCAGCAGCAGCATGAGCAGCGCCAGAGTCACTATCTGCATCGTCCCCCAGCAGGTCCTCGTATTGATCGTAAGCCTGGAGGCTCCTCAGTAGATCTGCACCGTCCATGCTCTCCCGTGACTGCTGCAGCTGCGACTGTGGTGGCTGTGCTGGTGTGCTCTGTAAGGGCGGCGACTGTGATTGCAGAGGTTGTAAGGGCTGCTGTTGGAGCGATGAGTTGGAGGGACTGGGTGGATCGGCAAGGACCTGGTTGATTGGAAGAAGATGGGGAGACGTTGGGGGACATGGATGAAGGGTTAAGTGGGAATCGGTACGGAGGTGTGGCGATTGTGATTGTAGAGGCTGTAGGGCCTGCTGTTGCAGCGATGAGCTGGAGGGACGGGGTGGATCGACAGGGACCTACATGGGGCAAGATGGGGTGAATGAAGAGTGAGTGGGATCGGTACGGAGGTGAGGTGTATTGATGGGGGGACACTGTGTCGTGTTGGTAAAAAGGAGTTTAATAGCATGCACGGTTCTAAAGTCGTGGGTTAATTTCGAGGCAAAGCGAAAGGTACGTAAGGAGCCCAAGGCAGGTATAGGAGATGCGAGGGGGATGTGTGGAGGCACAGGAAGAACACTCGGGGAAGGAGGGGGAGGGATGGGGAAGGAAAGGGCTTCTTCTCTTCTGTGCAAGCACGTGTGCACACACACGCGGATAAACTTTTAAGTCGACTCAAAAGTCGTTTATCTCTTCTGTGCATGCACATGCGCACACGCGAGTAATTATCCATCCATGTGCACTTACAATACAACCTTCCTGGTGTGACTTACGCACGCCTCACACGCTGACCTGCGCGCGCACCTGTGTGCATCCATCCATACCATTCATTCATTCAACCGTGCTCACCAGGCGTGCGGAGAGGCGGTCACAATTCGGGTCAGAGGCTGCTGTGGAGGAGCGCAGTGAGGCGCCTAGTGAGAGCTGGCGAGGGAAGAGGGGATGGGAAAGAAAGGAGAAGAGACTTTTGGACAACTGGATGACGCAAGCAAGGGGTCAGGTGCATGTGGGAGCTATTGAGACTGTGCTGTGAATGACACAGGAGTTAGTGAGATGGCACTTGGGGCATGTGGCTGCTGTGGAGAATGGAGCGTTACAGTGAGTCGCAGTTGGGATCCTTTGTTCCGTTACATCTCGGGAATCCTCATTACGTATGGTGGAACGTGCATGGTGCATTGCATTGTGCATGCATGGGGCATGGTGGTCCATGGTGCATGGTGCATGGTGGTGCATGGTTGAGCGTGCATCGTGCATGTGACGGTCTGTCTGTGGAACACAGTGCATAGCCCATGGTGCATGGCGCCTTGAGCATGGTGCGCGTGTCATGGCAAACAGGGGATGCTACATGCTGCATATGACATGCTTGACATGACACGGTACTGACTGCATCCTCACATACATCAATGCGAGCTTGAGACGCCCTGCTGGCCGGCTTGCAGAGCTCCTCGCCTGCCAGTGCCATGAAGTCCGACAGGAAATCCGCCTGGGGGGGGGGGGGGCGGTGGGGGGAAGGGGGGGTTGGGGTGAGGTGAAGCGGGGTCAGAAAGAACTTGATGAATCCCGTGCCAAGGATGCGCGCATGATAAGCACGGGTAGTGTGCAGAGCTCCTCGCCTGCCAGTGCCATGAAGTCCAGCAGGAAATCCGCCTGTGGGGAAGGAGAGGGGGGGTGAGGGCGAGGGTGACGGTGAGGGAGGGTGGTGGGGACGAGGAGCAGTCAGAGGGGACATGACACAGACGGCACATGATGAAATGCACGTGGCTTACTGAGTGGAGTGACCCTCCTCTCCTCTCTCCTCGAATACCAGCGCAATGAAGTCCGCCTGGTAACGGGGTTGACATGATGAGGAGCAGTCAGGAGGGACGTGCAAAAGGACGGGCACATGATCAGCACGGCCCGGCTGCGGTACAGAAACAGAGCTCCACTCCTCGCCTGCCAGCGCCATGGGTCTTGACAGGAAGTCCGCCTGGTGGGGGCCGAGGGTTTAAGGTTTCGGGTTTAGGGTGAGGGGAGTCAGGAGGGGCGGGGCATGACAAGGACGAGTCAGGAGGCTTGCTGGAAGAGCTGGGGGGAGGGAGGGAGACGGACGGAGGGAGGGATGGATTGATGGGTTCATGGGTTGATGGAGTTTTCAAGACGTCTCTAAGCTGGCTGCAGGCGATGGGTGGGTGGACGGATGAGTAAACGGAGGAAATGAATGGATCGCCAGTTGGAACAAGAACGAGGTTTGAGATGTCTCAAAACTCATACCTGGGATAGCAGCAGCACTCGTCGGATGGTGAGCAGATGCGCGAGCAGGTGGCTCTGTTTTGCAGTCAGGAAAAACGGGCGTGCATGGGGACCGGGGGGAGATGGGGGAGGGAAAGACGAAGGACAGCGGATACTGTTTTAAACAGAGCAGAAGAATCGCAGCAGAGCCAACCCTTCCCCGCCCATGCACGCTCAGAGGCAGATGCGTGCACACTTCGCGATGACAATGGATACTTGAGGTGATGCATGTGCATGCAGGCATGGAGGCATGGGGCATGCAGGTATGCAGGTATGCAGGCAGGCGGGCATGGAAGCATGGAGGCATGGCAGCATGGAGGTATGACAGCATGGAGGCATGGCAGCATGGAGGTATGACAGCATGGAGGCATGGCAGCATGGAGGTATGACAGCATGGAGGCATGGCCCACGTGGGGGTATGGAAGCATGGAGGCATGGCAGCATGGAAGCATGCAAGCATGAAGACATGCAGGTATGCAGACATGCAGGCACGGAGGCATGAGGCGCGGAGGCATGAGGCGCGGAGGCGTTAGTAATCACACACAATTCGCTGCACAACACCTCATGCAGCTTCACAGTACCCTACCTGCTCCAGCATTAGTACCCATCACATTGCAGGGCAGTACCCCACCTTGTTCAATGTAAGGTCTATCATCGTCTGCTGCACTGCCTGCGTGCGCGCACCCACGCTCTCCTCTAGACTGCCCAGCTGCATCTGTGGCTGTTGTGCCTCCCCCTCTGATGGGATCAACTGCAGTGTGAGGGGGGAAGGAGGAGAAATCTTGAGTCAAATAAAAAATGCTCTCCTCTACACTGGCCAGCTGCATCCGTGGCTTCTCTGCCTCTTCCGCTGACAGAGTCAGCTGTGGTGTGAAGGCGGGAGGAGAGGAAAAGGGAGAGGGAATGTTGTTCCAAGCAGAGGCTTTACAGAGGGAGGTCGTTTTTAACATGTGAAGCAGAGGGAGGATGTGGAAAGGGATTGATCTCATTGCACTGCACTGCATACATGCAGCGCATGCATACAACATGTGCACCATGCACCCACCCACCCACCCACCCACCCACCCACCCACCCACAATGCTCTCTTCAGCGCATGCACCAGCTGCCCCATGGGCAGCACATCATCACTATCAGCCCACACACCCAATGACACACCTAATGCTTTCTAGCACCCCACCTCACGGTCCTCACCAAACTCACCAACCCACCTGCTTCAAGTAACCATGCTCCCTCAGCGCATGCACCAGCTGCCCCGTGGCCAGGACATCGTCAGCCACCGGCTGAAACAGCACCGGCACCGCATCACACCGCACTACAAACCGCTGCCCTTCCACATTCGCCCCTTCCCACCCCTCTGCACTCCTCCATTCCCCTTGCCCCGTGGCAGGCGTGGCGGAATTGGTGGCTTCAGCATCAGCATCAGTGGTAGCTGTGTGCGCATGTGCGGAAGCAGCAGTGCATGCGGAAATGAAGAAGTCGCTGTGAATGTCGTCGTCCAGTCGCCCCTCCTGCATCCACCTGTGTGGGGCCGGGTGGAAAGAATGGGGCACAGGAGGAGGTTGTGTGGCAGCGGTAGTAGCTGTAGTGGCTGTGGCGGATGTAGCAGCTGTATCAGTGGTGCATGAAGCTATAAAGAACTCGCTGTGAATGTCGTCATCCAGCCTGCCCTCCTGCATCCACCTGTGACAAGACCAGCAGCAGCAACAGGTGAGGTCAGGTGAGGTCAGGTGAGGTCAGGCCAGGCCAGGTCCGGTCAGGTCCGGCCAGGTCAAGCTTGATGCAAAGCAACATGAAACTGGAAGAGTTGAAATAAAAGCAAGAGGAAACAAGTGGAAGTATGGAGAACGTGTGAGGGACATCTGAAGAGAGGAGTTGAAGGGAGGGAAGGGAAGTGATGTGACATGTCAGGACTGAAAAAGAAGCAGAGGTTCGGGTTCAGGGCAGGGAGAGTAGTTGAAGGTTAAAAGAGGCATTGAAGGTAGCAGACGCATGTGAGAGGCAGTAAGGAGGACACAAGGGCACGAAGCGAGGGCATGTGCATGGAGCTAGGCACGACAGCACGGGCACGGAGCTAGGCACGGCAGCACGGGCATGGAGCTAGGCACGGCAGCACGGGCATGGAGCTAGGCACGGCAGCACGGGCATGGAGCTAGGCACGGCAGCACGGGCATGGAGCTAGGCACGGCAGCACGGGCATGGAGCTAGGCACGGGTAACATACGAGAGAAGGTGAAGGTAGGGGGCGCATGTGAGAGGCAGTAGGGACGGCATGGAGGGCAGGGACATACGAGGAAAGAAGGTGAAGGTAAGGGGCGCATGTGGCTTGCAGCACAAAACGAATAAGACCCTCCGCCTCCCTCACATCTGGTCGGGTGGACTGGGAAGAAAGGGGGGTGGGTGGAAGGGACGGGAGTCGGACGGAGGTTAGAGGTGGGAAGGGAGTCGGACGGGTGGAATGGGAAGGAGAGAATGAGAAGGGAGAGAACGAGAAGGGAGAGAACGAGAAGGGAGAGAACGAGGGGAATTCTTAACTTGAAGTTGATGTATCTGTGAAGTAATCTCTGCATACCACTGTATACCGCTGCATAACACTCTCTTCATCATACCACTGCATGCGTCATGCCAAGTGCATAGCCCTGCAAACCATTGCATACTGCTCCATACCCATGGATACAGCTGTAAATCATTTTATACCGTTCTAAATCATTGCATACCGCTGTTGTATCTCATTGCAAACCGCTGTACAACATTGCATACCATTGCATACCGCTGCACGCACACCACTCTTCCATACCGCTGCATGCAGCATGTCAAGAACCTCTGTGGATCCCCATCCTTCATCGTCCACCCCTCTCACAATGGGCGTAAGCACCCTCACTCCGTCCGCTACGGGCTGTGGGGCAGCACACAGAGGGAAGAATTGGTGGGGGGGGGGGGAGCATTGGTTTTCGAGTCAACTCAGACATCCTCCACCCCTCTCACGACGGGTTCAAAAACCCTCTCTCCGTCCGCTACGGGCTGTGGGGCACGGCAGCACACAGAGGGTGAAGCATGGGGGGGAAAGATTGCACAGACTGAGCTGCCAGGGATAGAGTGAGAGATCCAAGACCCTGCCGCTCACAATGGCGTGAGAGACACACAGAGGGAAGAATTGGAGGGGGGAAGCATTGGCTTCCGAGTCAACTCAGAAATCCTCCGCCCCTCTTACGGTGGGTGCGAGCACCCTCACTCCGTCCGGTACGGGCTGTGGGGCGGAACATAGAGGGGAATTCAAGGGCGAACATTGGTTTTTGAGTCGACTGAAAAAGCTTCCACCTTTCTCACGATGGGCGTCAGCACCCTCACTCCGTCCGTCCGCTATGGAGTGTGGGGAAGCATACACACAGAGGGGCATTCGGGGGGGAGGGTGCCACGCAGCAATGCATGGAGTGAGAGATTGGTAACATCCAGTCACACTCATGCTTGCTGACCCCTCACTCCGGCTGCTATGGGCTACACGGCAGCATACAGAGGGGCGTTGGGGAGTTTGCGTGCAGCATTGCGAGGAGAGAGAGAGACTCAGTGGTGCGTTCCAGGCACACGCACACTTGTTGCCCCCCTTCACTCTGTTACACTAAGGGCTGCTTTGCAAAGAAAGGATAGATGTCAGAACTAGAATAAGTATGGCGGGGGCATTGGGGATAGTATCATAAGCACCGTGCACTATGTGTTGGTGAACAGTGAAAAGAAAGAACATTTGCAAAAAAAACAACTTGCTGACCATGACACTTCATAATTGAAAGAACCTTTTTATACCTTGACTCCACCACCATATACCAACTGCATCGTTGTGTATCAACTGCACCACTCCGTACCTGAATGCACCGCTTGAGCTCCAGCAACCTCATGCTGTGGCTCTCACACTGACTCTCCAGCTTGCACAACAGCATGGCTGTGTTCTGGTAGACACATGGGAGGGGTGGTGTGCGGTGGCAGGCACAGCATAGCATGGGATAGCATGGGGTGAGATGCGGTGGGATGCGGTAGCATAGGTTGGCATATTAAAACCATGGTCTCTCACATACTACAAGTGTTTTGCAGTTGATGGCCTGAGTTTCCAACCCAACCGGGGAGAACTTCGCCTGCACTAACTAGGTAACCTAGCTTCAACTGTTTTGCAGTTGATGGCTCCTTTGCTTACGCGAAACCCTGGCTTCAAAAAAGCATAGATGTATGCAATGAAAGTGAGGGTGGTCAGCGCGATAGGCTCTTCTGCTTGCACACAAGCATGGCAGCATAGCAGCATGGCCCGTGGGTGCTTGGCGGATTTGAGAGATGCATGGCATGTGATGACGCTAAGGAACACTGATTGATACTTTTCAAGAATTACGCTTGAGAATTCTCACATAACGGAGCAGCATGCGAGCATCTCACATTAGTGCTGCTGGCACTAATGCATGCATCTCAAAGCATAAAAAAGGGTTGTTTGCACATAAGAATGCACAATGGGAGCATCCCAAATTAGTGCCACTGGCACTAATGCATGCATCTCAAAGCTCAAAGCACGGGTGTTGATACATAAGAAAAAATAAGGCAAACAGCTTGACACATACGGTGGACTCACACAGTCGATGGGTTTTGAGACGTCTCATAACTTGACACGGACGGTGGGCTCACATAACAATGGGCTCACATCAAGGAAAACGCGGATGGCCTGGGCGAGGGCCTGAAGGCACTGGCTCGTGTGCTGCTGCTCCAAAGGCAGGCCTCGCGGCTCTGGCAGCGACGTGCAGAGCATGGCAGCGCGAGTGTGAGATGACTCGTGACGCTCCGTGAAATGGCGGAGGAGGGCGGTGTCTGTGATTAAAGGCAGCAGTGCTTGTGCGTCCGCCTGAAGGGGAGGGAGAGGGGAAGGAGGGAGAGAACGGGAATGTGCCTTGAACTTGATTGGCAGAGAGTGACAGTGACGACTCGTCGTAGCGCTCTGTGAAGAAGCGGAGGAGGGCGGTGCGGGGGTGATGAGAGGAAGAGGAGCATCCGCCTGGTGGTGTGGGGGGGGGGGTGTGAGGGAATGGTTGTGAAGCAGCGTGCACGGGAGGACTTGACAGAGAATGTGCCTTTAACTTTATTGGCAGAGAGTGACAGCACGGACTCGTGACGCTCTGTGAAGTGGCGGAGGACGGCGGCGTCCGTTATGGGAGGAAGCAGTGCTTGTGTGTCCGCCTAGTAGGGAGAGGGGAAGGAGCGGGGTGGGGGGCGGGAGGGTAAGGGAATGGTGGGAAAGAGGATGAGGAGAGCAGCGTTGGTGATGAGATGAAGGAAGCAGTGTTTGTGAGTCCGTCTGGTGGGGAGAGGGGGAGGAGTGGGAGATGGGGCCCAGGAGGGAGGGGTGGGACGAATAGCCACGTGTTTGAAGTAGTGTTTTGAGACATCTCAAAACACTACTTCAAATCAAACACAAGACGTCTCAAAACACTACTTCAAATCAAACACAAGACGTCTCAAAACACTACTTCAAATCAAACACGAGACGTCTCAAATAACTACTTCGAACAGTGAGGGAGGAGTGGGAGATGGGGCCAGGGGGAGGAGGGAGGAGTGGGACGAATGGGAGCAGAAAAGAGGTGATGGTGAATCTGCCTCAAACTTGATCGGCATTGTTTATAAGTGATAATGAAAACACCCTGCGAAGTGATGAAAAGTGATTATCTGGTGAGTAGCATGCACAGCCAGCTGGTGAGAAGAGTGGGGGACGAAGGAGGAGGGGATGAGGGGCTATACATACACACGAGCTACTGGAAATTTGATCTTAAACACTTCTCTGTCACCCGATGATCGCTTCAGTGGAGAGCGTATTTTCAGGCGAAACACGCACCATGCGCGCACGTAAATCACGCAAGCTCTCATGCGGAGTGCGTATGCACGCACAAAAGAGTACAGTACACACAAGCACGCGAAGTTTGAGACATCTCAAAACGCCTGTAGAGCACGCACGCACGTTAACATTGTAGTCCAGGCGGTTAGGCAGTTCCGAGACGATGCTGGCACGTGCCCGGCACATGCCCCTCTCGTTCACCAGACTGACTGCCACCAGCGACGAGGGGAAGCCCCTTAGCGCCGCCAGCACCGCCGCACATGCTGCTGTTTCCTGTGTGGGGGATGGGGGGAACGACGGAAAGGGATGAGTGCGTGTTTGGGATATGCGGGTCTGGGAGAAGAGAAGAGGGATGAGGGGAAGCCCCTTAGCGCCGCCAGCACCGCCGCACGTGCTGCTGTTTCCTGTAGGGGGGATGGCGGGAGCAGGCTGGGAGAAAATGGGGAGCAGGGGGAAGGAACGGGCGCGCTACTAGAGGGATAGGCGGGTTCGGTCGGAGAGGAGAGAGAAGGGAGGAAAACGGCGATGAGCCGAAGCCTCTCGGCTTCGTGACCGTCAGTGATGCCGCCGCCACTATCACTCCTGGCTATAGTGGTTAGTGGATGTGAAGGAAGTGGCCTGATTAATTTGTCAGTACCTATCTGGTGCTACAAACGAGTACAAGCGAGTGCGAACGAGTACAGGAGAGTACAGGAGCGGCGACCTGTTTGAGATCTGCTTTGCAGGCGAGTCCAATCTGCATGCTGCCATGCCCGATTCTAACCCGAATCTAAAAGCCGAAGAGAATAGGGCTTCACAGGACGAGACACGGCACGAACGACATGGCGAAGAAAACAAAAGTTTATTTCGCTCAATTAGCAGCATTGGACCCTGGAGAACGAAACCGCAAGTAGGGAGAGGAAACAAGTTCCTGATATATACAAGCCGAAAGCGAGCCCAGAATCACCTGCTCCTCGAGCGTCAGCGAGTCGACTCGAGGAAAGTCGTCGACTACCCGAGCAGACATAGCGACCGCCATGGCCACTGCTTCAACGTCGTTATTAGAGAGGCTAGTAAAGGGGTTTTTTTCCGCGAGACACAGGAATGAAAGAAATCCGATCCGACTCAAATTCGAATTCGTACTTAGAACCGCCTTTTAGGGCGTGTCTCCATTGTGATTTTTGGCAATTTTCCGAACGGTTCCTTCTTTGGTGCCGGACTGTCTGAATTGCCATTCGGAACTTTGCCTCGTCCAAGTGCAAGAATATCACTTTTTTGGGGAAAAGTAACCAGCATGGGACTCGGTAACGCGAATAGTAAAAAAGTAACGCGTACGGTCGCTGCACAGATGTTCTGTAGATCTTTCATATAAGTCCTAGGTGAAGCCCCTCCTCTACAGTCCCCTTTTTGGCGGGAAATTTTGCAGCTTGACTGCGGATCAGTTCCGCAGCCAATCAGAAGGCCCAAATCGAACCGACCCGGAAATTGTGAGGGAAGGAATTTCTATTTTGACATTTACATTTAAAACTACTTCTGATTTTTTATCTTGACCGCGCTTACTTCTACATCCCGTCGAGCGTTACTCAGCGCGCTCGACGATGACAGGGAAAAACAAACTATATTTCCTTTCATTAATTCCTAAAACCTAACCGAAGTTGTTTATTCTGCGCGTCAGTCATGCAACACTGATGAACGTGGAAAATTCTTGCGACAAGAAGTTAAATCAAGCGCATTCCGAATTGGTACATATATGAAAGGAAACAACAACTATTAGCGAAGCAAAACCAATTTCCATGCAGTTTTACTGAATATGGGACTATAGGGTCCCGTTTGCCTGGGGTTTGAAGGGTTTTCCACAAAGGCCCGCAGCGCGTGTGTTTTTCATTGGGACTCTAAGCAAGAACATCTGTATCGGGTTTGCTGACGCGTTCGGAAAGTGAGGTCACGGATTCAGTCACTTCCAACAGGTTAAAAATCATGCGAATGGTCACACGTGTAACTATATAAGGAAAACTTCTTCTCCTTATTTCGCGAACCCTGCTCAGCGCGTATGTTGAAACAACCGAAAGGTTATATAAAGCATTCCCGAAGCTGCCCACTGTATCAGTACCGCAATAGCTCATATAGAGCATGCGGAATGTCGAGGGTCACCCGAAGGTCAACCGTCTGAGGAAGTCAACGGTCGTGACCCTTGACGATCCAGTAACCGCACGACAGTTAATTCACTGCAACATGGTAACTGTCGAGGATAGCAATAGTCGCGGTTACTGTAGCTATGCAATACAGTTAATAAGGGAATGTACCCCTCAGAGTACATGGCTAGCTAGATTTCTATTTAATCTCCTCTACTCCTATCTTTCAAATTATATTGTTCTCTTTCAATTATTATACAACAAGGTCACTACAGAGACTTCATTGTCTCCTCTCAGACTTAACAGATTCTATCCTATCCACTGGATCCTTTGGTTGTGTCAGCATGGTATGAGAGCCAGACTGGATTATAGGATCTGCCAAGTCTTCGTTCTTCTCAGAACAATCCCTTTATAAAGTTATTTATTACACCTCAAAGTCCGCAACACTATGGCTCCTGAAGGAAAAGCTACTGCAGACTCACCGGGCCCACCACCAGCAACGACTAACGCGCCCTCAGCGACGACCTCTGTCAGCGCCGCTGTCGTTGAGGAGCTAGTCGCACGCATCAACGCCCTTGAAAGCCATCAAGCAATGAGCATTAACGGCTCAAGCTATGCACGTGGCGTTGCTGGACTCCCTCTCCCTGGAGAAGACCGCCGCGTCAACTCCGAGAGATCCTTCATCTTCGACAATCGTCAAGGGTCAGCTCCTGCACAAGACAACCCACAACGCTCACAGTGAGACATCGCTTCAATGCAAACCAAATTTGTACTGACTTCAAAATTGAAGACCTCAATTCCTTTCGACGGAAAGGACTTCTACACGTGGAGTTTCGAATTCGAGCTTCTCGCGACAACCGCTCAAATCTGGATGTACTACGACGGAAGCCTACCTTTTCCTTCGGAAGGCACCATCCAGGAGTGCGGAGAGTCACTCTGCAACGGTAGTGAGCTAGACTACGGGGGTTGGCACGAACTACTAGTGGTGATCGTAGCTTTTCTTGGTTCCTTAGTGCTTGCACATTTACGGGAGAGATTGGCAAGAGTTCCCACTAGCAAAGTTAGAATTCCAGAATGATTCAACAAGCAATGACAACAATGACTACATCAGGCACCTAGCAACCCTGCTGCAAGCCTGTTCGACCGCCAGCACAGCTCAGTCGACCGCCTGCCAGCGTTGCGTAGAGGAGCCGCGCCAGCACTGCAGAAAGGCGACCTGCCAACGGAGCAGGTCGACGGCGTGCCAACGCTGCACCGGAGCGGCTGTCCAGCGTTGCCCCGTAGAACACAGCAGTACGTACGCTCGCAGGTGCGCGCAGACAATTGGCCTGACTTGCCTCGTTGGGCATTCGTCGGCTGTTGTCTGCGCTTGACGAGCCACATCGACTTCGGGATACCAGCCCGCAGTCGCCTGCGCCATCGCAACCTCGACGACGTTCGCGTGCCTCCACAGAACTCGTCGAGCAGGTTACCCGGTCGACCCGGTCGACCACCAGGTGCCTCTGGTCGACCACAACTCCCGTCGAGCTACCCTCTGGTCGACGGACCCCTTCCGTCGACCAGAACCATCAGCGGTTGTTGCCGAGCTCCCCTCGTCGACCGCTACTCACTTGTCAAGTCGACGGACTGCTCCGTCGACCTCCCGGTCGAACTGCAGGTCGACGGGATGCTCCGGAGACCTCCCGGTCGAACGGCAGGTCGACGGGATGCTCCGGAGACCTCCCGGTCGAACGGCAAGTCGACGGGATGCTCCGGAGACCTCCCGGTCGAGCCGTAGGTCCTGGTCGACGTCCCACCCGTCGCCCAGACCAGTCAGTTGCAGCTGTCGAGCTCCCTGGTCGACAGCAACACCACAGCGGTCCCCTGCAGCTCGACGAAGCCTATGGAGCAGCTCTCCCACTGTGAATGGTCGGCTGCTACTCCCGTACATCCGACCAAGTCGTCGGCGTTGCCCAAGCGAGGGCGGGGCCAACACTCCATTCCTGTTAACACTCCCCTGCCGCGCTCACGCTTGGGCCTCCAGCCCACACGGCAGTACTCTACGGAGAAAACTCGTCCTCGGCGAGCACCCCACACACAGCATGCCGTCACCGCACCAGCCGTGCAGAAGGGCACGGCACCTACTGCTGCACCTCGTCGTCGCCGTCGCCGGCGTCGGCCAGACGAACTTGGCCGATGGCGACCGAGCACCGGTTGAAAGCCGGAAGATGCACCGCCTTCGTCAGGAAGTCCGCCGGCTGCTCGGTGGTCGGGATGTACTTCAGCACGAATTTCCCGCGCCTCACCATGTGCTGCAGCCTGGCGTAGCGTCGCTCCATGTGCTTGAGGTTGCCCGTCAATCCCAAGCCCTCAGCGACCGTGATTGCCGACTTGTTGTCGACGCGGAGGATGGTCGGTTTCCCAGCGTCGAGCAGCTTGAATTCCGCAAGGAGGAAGCGAGGTCGACGCCCCTCCTTGCCCGCATCCGTGGCCGCCACATACTCCGACTCAGTCGATGACAATGTCGCGCACTTGATGCGTGAGCTCGACCAGGAGACGGCGGCCCCTCCGTAGACGAACACGTAGCCTCCCGTGCTCGTCCGGTTCTGCTTGTCGCCCGCGTCGTCGGCATCGACGTAGCCGATCAGCTCCAACGATTCTGGTCCACTGCCGAACTCCAGGGCGGTGTCGCGGGTGTCGGCGAGGTAGGCGAGGCAGCGGTCGACCTCGCGCCAATGCTGGTCGCTCCTCACTGTGAGGCCGCTTCCCAGCTTGCTGCACGCGAACGCAATGTCCGGCCTCGTCGTCGTCGCCGCGAACTGCAGCGAGCCGACCTTCTGCCGGTACTCCTCCTCCTCGCGCTCCTGCGCCTCCTCGTCGTCGAACGTCAGCTGAGCGTAGGCGTCGACCGAGACCGGCGTCTTCGGGACTCGACCGCCCTGCTCCTCGTCGATGAAGTGCATGCGCAGCTTGTCGGCGTAGCCCTGCTGGTGCAGCCACAGCTTCCTGGCCGGCCTGTCGCGCACGATCTCCAACCCAAGGTACTTCACCACCGGCGAGATCTCACGCAGCTTGAAGGTGGCCTCCAGCAGCTCTTTCAGCTCCTTCAGCATCGCGGTGCTGCTGCTGGCAGCGAGCAGGTCGTCGACGTAGACCAGCACCCAGCAGGTCACTCCGTCGTCGCCGGCCTTGAAGTAGAGCGCCTCGTCGACCTGGCTCTTCTTCCAGCCAGCGCCCAGCAGCACACCGTCGAGAGCCCTGTACCACAGCAGCGGCGACTGCTTCAGCCCGTAGAGGCTCTTCAGCAGCTTACACACCCGGCCGGTCCCGTCGTCGAAGTAGTCCGGCTGGTACATGTAGAGCACCCTGTCGAGCTTACTCTGCAAGAAAGCGTTCTTCATGTCGAGCTGCATCAAGTGGAGGTCGAGAACGGCGACGATGCTGAGGAAGATCCTCAGCGTGACGTAGCTGCTCACCGGCTAGTACGTCTCGTCGTAGTCGGCACCGTACACCTGCGTGAAGCCCTTCACGACCAGCCTCGCCTTCTCGCGCTCGATGGTGTCGTCGATGCGGTACTTGGTCGTCAGCACCCACCAGTTCTTCATGATGTTCACCCCACGTGGGCGTTCGACCAGCTCCCAAGTCCCCATGTCGATGAGGCTGCGGATCTCTTCTTCCATGGCGGCCTTCACCGCCGGGCCCTTCCAGCTCGACAGCGCCTCCTTCACCGTCATCGTGGCGATGTCCCAGCAGTGTTCGGGGTCGGCATGCACGTCAGGGTCGAGCTCCGGCAGGTCTTCATCCTCCTCGGCGTCGTCGTACAACAGGTCGTCGTCGACCTCGTCGAACACCGTGGTGAAGGCGGCTGGCGGTAGGCAGGTGTGGAAGCTCAGCCGCTCCGGTGGCCGTCGAGCTC